ATAAATAGAAATATTTTCTTTTTTCAAAAAAATCAAGACATATGGCCTAAAAAGTCTAGATTTGCTTACAGAAACACGAGGACAAAAATTTATAAATGGAGGAAATAAGTTTTTTGCCAATTTGTTTGTTTTGTGGTAATAAGGATTGAACCAAGGGCCTTACACATACTAGGGAAGCAATTTACCACTGAGCTACATCCCTAGCTGGAGGTCATGTTAAATGACAAAAAAATAGATTCCAAATTCTTCGAGTCCTATTTGGTAAGTCAAAAGCATCACTGGTTCATTGTGGTGTAAAATTTACTAGCTTTTTCTAAAATTCCAAGTGCTTGTTCGCTTACAATTGTGCAAGGTAATTTAGTCATACATTTATTTAGTTATTGCATTTATGCAGGTGGCCGTTGTTGCGATGGAGTTTTTTACCCAGCTATTTTAAACTTCAGCACACAAAGTTGTTTTACTTCCCACGTCGGCTCATGGCTTTCTCCCGGTGAACGCACCATACGCATCGCTTTTATTCGTCCGTGCTTTTGCCCGCAGCGCTCTTCCCCTCCCTTGCTGGCTCTGCCCAGCCTTCTAGATGAGCTCCAGGATCATCTTCTCCTGAGAGTTACATGTGAGGCTCCCCGGCAGCTTTTATCGTCCTTCTATTTTAGCATGCAACACACGCACGTATTGTTTGCTTATAAACCTGCCTGTCCCGTAAGATGATCAGATACTCAAAGAAAAGACGCCTTCTATCCATCTTCAGGTCCTTGGTGACTAGGAGAATACCTGCCCGTTGACTGTTTCCGGTCAACTTTACTGGACTGCACGGGACGTGGTAGCATTATCTGTTTCTGTGCTTATCAACCAGTCTTCTCTTTGTTTTCCTGCTATTCTCATTCCTCATAAAGCCTAAGCAGAGAACTTGGAAGGACAGCAGAAGCCTGAAAAGATCTGACAAATTCTGTAAGTGGACAAAGGATAATCTGAAGTCCAGACCAATTTTTGGAGGGAATTGTTCTTATTTTTCATTAGTACACTGTAGCACGAATGATGACGTTCCTTGTGTGAAGCTGCATGCGTACGTAAAACATAACTCTTTTTTATTCTCTTCCCCTCCACTTCATTCCCCTCTCTTCATCTCTTTATCTCTTCTCATTTGAGAAAGATTTATCTCACTTCCTATTATCTTTTATTTTGCTCTTTATTTATATTTTAGGTACGCATAAGAGAAACCATGCTTGTGTGTCTGATATATTTCATTAATGATAATAATGAAAGAAATGATGCATCCATTCTCCTACAGATCAATCGAGTTTATCATCCTTTGTGGCAGAGTCGCACTCCATTGAGTATAAATACCACATTTTCTTTATCCATTCGTCTGTTGATGGGCATACAGGCTGCTTCCAAGATTTAACTCTTAGGACTTGTGCTTCTATAAACATGAGTATGCATCTATCACTGTAATATGATGCCTTTAACTTTTGGGGGAAGATACTGAGAAGGCGAGTAGCTGGGTTGAATGGAATTTCTAGTTCTCGTTTTTTGAGAAATGTCCATACTGATTTCCATAGTGGTTAGAGTAGTTTACATTCCCACCAACAGTGTGGGATGGTTTCTTTTTTCCCCCTGCAGCCTGGCCAGCATACGTTATTACTTGATTTCTTCCTGGTAGCCATTGTTTCTGGGGTAGGGTGGAATCTCAAGGATGTTCTAATTGCCATTTGTGTAATGGTCAGTGAGGTTGAACTCAATGTATTTATTAGCCATTTGTATTTCTTCTGAGAAGTGTCTATTCATTTCACTTGCCCTCATCCATAACCAGGCAGCTTTCATCTTATAACCTCGTGCTGGGTCAGGTGTAGATTTAAGGTGAATAAGAAGTTCCTTCATCTATTTTAGGCATAGCTTTTCAGAGTTACAGTCTTCGGCGTGTAAATTCTGTGACAAAGTCAAGCTAAGCGTCCCACTTCTGTACTTCCTAAATTGCCTGAATCTGTACCTCTGGTTTCTCCGTTAAAAAAAGATAGTAGTATCTACTTCTCAGAGTTGTTGTAGTGAGTACATGAGATCCTGTTGTATGAAGGGTGTGGTACAGGATTCAACAGTAGGTCACACTACGGTCACACTACCAGTGGAAAATGGGACTATTGGATGATAATGCCAGGGGACAGGAGATAAATTCTGGCAGGAAGGAACAGAAAGAACGAGACTGCACTGGAACAGGGATTTCTGTCAGTTATTCCACTGGTGGGACAAAGGACTCAACACCCACAACGTAAAGGAGGGCGGGGGTACTTTTGGCTCCCAGCTTCAGAGCTTTCGGTCTATGCTCAGCGGACTCCAAGCAGAGTTGTGGTGGAAGGACGTAGCGGCACCCCGGGAACAGAGCGCAGGAGACGGGCACTAGCAAGAGGTACGCCCCCCGAAGTGCTGCCCCCACCATGACCCGCCTCCAGCCAGGCGCCATGCCCCAACAACGCACACAGCTGGTAAGCACGGCGCCCCCGTGCCCCGATGGCCTCTCCAGGTGCCGGAGTCCAGTTGAGCTGGAAATTAAGAACGACGGGCACAGGTTGTCTCACAGAGGCGACCTGACTCTGGTGAGGAACTGCTTGGTTTTGGACGTTCCTGTGCTGCTGTCTGCTCAGGGCAGAGGTGACGGCCGCGGTGGCCAGCTTGCCCTGGCGGCTTGGTGTTTCCAGCTCTCCCCGTGTCATCCTAAATTTGGAAGTAATCAGAAGACACAATATGGAATTGTGGTCCACAAGTCCCCCCTCTAAAGCCATGGGCAGACCTCAGACTCTTCCTTGGAGCCTTACTGACTGTGACACACAGATTTAAGATATATTTTCCATGCATTCCCTGATATGATTTCTCGCCCTGAACGATGAAAGGGAGATTAGGAAAGGGCTGCTGGGAGGAAGCAGCACGTGCAGTAGAAAGTGTTAACTCCTCACCACTGAAGGGAGACCTGGGAAATCAGACACAGAACTGCATCGTGGCCCAGTACAGTGACAAATGTTCCTGAGAGATCACTCTGGGTTGTGTTACAAAAAAGTTAAATTATTTTCAGTGTCTTTTCTTCCCAAAGGCAGGGAAGTATGAAACACTTCAGGGAGGGTTCTGCTCAAAGTTTCGGTTTCAGTGGGCTGCACAGTTTACTTATATGGAACACCTCGTTCTCTGCCAGAGCCAAACAAATGAAATGTTTCTGTATTTAGAAAATAAGGAAAGTGGAACATTTGTTGTAATAATGTGAGTCTTAAAAAAAAGAACGTACTTGCTAAGAACAGCTGTAAGGCTGGTGGACTTTTTAAAAGATTAATCATGAGCAAACTCAACCATACTGTGAGGAAGAGGGGCATTTTATTTTGTTGACCGTGTCGAGGTGAGTGCTGGGCACTCAGAAGCTGGATTTGGATAGAGAAGTGGATAGGTGCTTGGAAGGACGGATGGACAGATGCACACAGGGTTGGACAGATGTGGGAGAGATGGCTGGTAAATGAGGTCATTTGGTTTAAATTGCATTTAGGTAGAATTTAAAGATGTAAGAGAGGCGTGCAGGGAAGATCAATCTCAGATCAGAGACCAAATAGCTCATAGAGGACCTGCTTCAAAGAGAGTAAATGTGAGAAACAGAGAAACAGAAAGGGTGCGTGCCAGTAGAGGAACATGTTGAGAATCTGGTGATCGTAGCTGTGTAACTGATTCTGATGTGTAAGTTTTAAAAATTCTAGTTCTGCTTCTGGGTGCTTGGGGGCAAAACTCATGCTTCTCTGTGCTTCATTTCCCTAATGTGTGAACTAAGCAGGTAGAGGTAGGTGATTCTATAAAGTCCTTCCAAATTCCAGCAGCCTGGGCTGGGGATATAGCTCAGCGGCACAAGTGACTTCCTGGCAAGCACAAGGTCCTGAGTTCGATTCCAGGTACCAAAAAAAAGAGAAAAAACCAAATTCCAAAAGCCCTTGGTTTCATAGGAAAAAAGTCATTGCTTTTTATGTATCTGACATATAATGAAAATCTAAATATGTAGATCAGTCTACCAAGCAGCATATTCCTTTTCAAGGGCGTTGGTATTTTTAGAATATAGTCTTTGCTTTGTGTCTAAAGCATATACTATGCCATCAAAATGCTTGTCCACACTTTTTTCCTTTCTGAATGAGAAGATCTGTGCCTCCCGCAGGAGGCGACGGCGCCTTGTGAATGGTAGCCCACACATACGCAAATGAGAACTGGAAAGTAATTAAATCTGAGGTGGAAACAGAGCAGACTTGTGAATGAACAAAGGAAGTTTGTTTCTCTGGAAGCCAAGATGTCAAAGATACATTTTCTGGGTACTGTGTACTTGCAGTTTTCATGCAAATCAGCGTTCAGCTGCTTCACGCGTTCAAACTCCGCATTTCTGAAGAACCTATTGTATATACTGACTGTGCAATGTCAGGCATGTTAAAATTCCACACTTAAAGAGATGCACGGAAGTGCACCCGGCTGTACATAAAGGAGCCAGGGGTAAAACGCAGTATGTGTTTCAGCTGAAAGTTGGAACAACACAGGTCCGTTTCTAAGACTTGGGCTTCCAAACTTGGGCTTCTGTTTATTTTGTTTTTATTTTCTTAAGAAAATGGCTATGAAACTGAAAAGGGGGCACGCGGCTCACAGGACTCTCAAACACTTCTGTCCCGCCCACCTTTCCAGGGGCTCCATTTTGCCAGACTGATGCCAAACCCCCACACTGGCCGAGTTCCCACCGTGCGACCCCGAGACTCACGTGCGAGGGTAAACACGCCGCCCCAGGGCGCAGGGGTGCGGCCTCGGAGCAAACACGCTCCGAAAGCGAGCCCAGGAGTCCTTTGCTTTGCTCCCTCAAGTTACCTACCTGGGAACTGAGGTCCAGGGAAATAAAATGCCTCACATAAAGCGGCACAGAAAATCTCTTGATTTCTTGCCTCCCTCCCTTCTCAAACCCACACTGATCCCTGACAAATAATATAAAAACAAGGAAACACAGCTCCTTTTTTATGTTTGTTTTATTTTTTAGAGGTTATAATGCTGTAACTTCACTTCACACGAGCCACTCTTCACCTTTTCTCGTTGTTGCTTTTGTCTTGCCAGCTTCTTGTAGAAAGATCACTTACTGCATGGAAATTCCACTTGGCATTTTCTTTAGACAAAGCGGTCTTTTAAAATATAACCAGCATTTCTTCTGGAGTATGACTCCATTTCATGTAACACATCCTAAGATTGATGTTCACCACGTCGGTTGTTTAAATCTTGTTCGGAGCTTGGTTACATGGGCTGTTTCTTTGTCTCGCTTGTTTCTTTGTGCTTGACACAAAAGGACAGAGGCCCCAGGATCATCTGGAAATGGATCAGTGTATTCATGTGTGAGCTTTACAAAGCACTGCAGCAAAGGTGTCATTAAACGTTAGAAGTCACTCAATCACACCCATCCCTTCATTGAAAGTACAGAGGAAAAATGCCCTGTATGGTAACTTCCATAAAGCTTTCTGTATTCATTTGTCCCTCACTTCTTGGAGGAACTGACCCCTACCCTCCTGTAGAAGAGGTTTGGAGGTCTGAGATTATCTGTTTTCTGCATCTGCCACTAGTACTTAGCCCTTATTTAGCCCTGAAAGTAACTAAAGTCATAGCCTTTTACAGAAACCTTCTGGATTTAATTCTGACTGTGTTTTCCTTTCAAATTACTGAGGTTTTCCTAAGTATTCCTGCATGCTTATGTCTAAAGAGAAGGAGGACTCTTATCAAAAGAAGGGAAATTAATTCTCTATCCCTAATTATGTTTCCAGCAGCCCTTCGGTATTAAATGTAGAAGTCAGTTAAGAGAGGTTTCAATGTTTCTGTATCCTGTTTGTCTTGAAATGCAAATAGAATTTATGTGAGTTTTGAAGCAGATGCCACCTGCTGGACGGTTAAGATACTGCAGCCAAAATCAGCGTCAAGAGCCAGGACAGTAACTCAGTAAGTAGCCTGGTTACTGACGTAGGCAAATGCTCCCCGCGACCCCCAGCTAGAGTACAGTCTCCCTAACCTGCTGTCTGTCATGCTCATATTTAAAATGTATATTTCCTAGTCAGAAAGACATACCCCTACCTACTCTGTGCAGGGCTACCTGCCTAAGCTTTTCATTTAGTTTGCAATCATGGGAGCATTTGTTCATCTTCTGAGAAAGGAGAAGCTGACACAACTGCGTTTGGGAGCCCAAAAATTAAAGCCAGAGGTAATATAAGAGAAAATGGAAAGAGAGGGAGAGAGTGGTGAAACAGGGTTGCACTGGAATAAAGGGTAAGTATATAAAATTTAAACCACATGTCAGACATACATGCCGGCTAAACAGCCCGTTCTTTCTGGGAGAGACCCTTTTAACAGCGCTGATCTCTATTTGACCCCCCCCCCGTTCCCACACTCTCCCTCATTAGAAGATCCATGGATAAAGAAGACCCTTCTTAAATTTTCTTTGGAAAATATGTATGTTATACTTACATTTCATACCATTCCTATTGGTGCCGGATCTCATTTGACCCTTTAACTATCTGAACAGGTTCTTCTGTATTTTGAGCATTGTATTTCCTCAGTTGTTAGATAGTCCTTGATGAACTTTACAGACCTAGTATGTGATTAAAAATTTTAGGACATTAATAGTGTACCCATAACCAGCATTCCCCCAAAATAAACTCATTTGGAGTCTCAACTTAAAATTAGGACACTGACGAGTACGATTCTGTGAAAACAATGGCATTTCTCTGTATGTAGAAAAATGTCCTAAGAAATGAAAAAATTTAGAACCCCCTTCTGCATCTGGCTAGGAAGTCCTGTGGGGATTTTGCAGAGAGGAAGTGGTAAGAGACCCATGCATTACTATAAGATTGTTCCTCTTTTTTCTCTCTCTCTATCTTAATACGATATAAAACAATAAATCACATTTCATAAATGTCTCCCGTGAAGAGCTCTCAAAATGAGTCACCAACTTGTGAGCTCCATCTCTACTTCTGAATTAAAAATACACATATATGGCTAGAAGGAAGGAAGAAGTAGAGAAAATACCAGCCTGACGAAGAGAGAAGAAGGAGATGTTCCCAGACATACCGACTGTTCACCCACATGACCTACTGGTACGTTAATGTCTCACATCAGCCACTGCTAGTGAGAATACTGCCCCTTCTTTCCTTCATAGTTCATAATTGGGGTAGCATTATGTAGTCACCCTAATGAGGTCATAGAAACATAAGTACACAGGAAAATTTGATAGGGTTTTCTCCCAGTTCATCCTCTCATGTGTTGCCCCCCCCCACTCCATCCCATTGGCCCTCTCTTCTCTTTCCAGGCCCCCCTCCACTGGCCAAGTCTCTAGTCCCAAAGGATGTATTGTTGGCTATTATTTAAAATAAGACTCTCTCCTCTTGGCAGAATATAGAACAGCTGCTGGTCTATTCTCTGCCACAAAGACCAACTTCCTACTTTCACCCTGGATGATTGGAAGAAAGTCAGGGAAGAGCAATTTATAGTTGGGTTACAGCACCTCTATTTTCTTTTATGTTTATTTATATTGCTTCCATTTCTGTCAGGGATTTCTGAGATAATCAAGATCACTCTGCTACAGAATTATCATTTGAGGAGACTTTGGTGGCGGTTGACAATATTTTTCTTCGTTGAGTCAGACATTTTAAGACTCTAGGCTACAGGAAGTAGTGAACATTTCTTCTATGAGAGTTTGAGAACCAGTGTTCCTGTTTTTAAAAATGAACAGATGAATGTGTCCTATGTTCTATGAACGTTGAATGACTTCTCAAGAGAAGACACCATCTTCAGTGACTTTCTGTCCCCAAACTCAGCACAGTACCTGCTCAGTAAACGTTGGTGAGTGAACTGAGTGGAGTGCTAAGTGCAGTTCTGGTTTGTTCTGTTAAGTACAAATGCCAGCAGACCAGCACTTTCCGTGCATCTCCCACCTGACTTGCAGCCCAGACCTGCCTCAGCTCCTGAAGCGGTACCTTCTTCTGAGGTCCTTTGCCTTACGGTGATATTTGGCTTCAGGTCTCATCCTAGGCAAGGACTAGAGGAACCCAATCATCCACCAAAATAAATACAAAATTGTTACCGGTGCTTGAGAGAGCTAAGCAGGTTAGGAAGTGGATTGGGGAGCATCTCTCTGTTCCTTTAGGTATTCAAGAAAACTTGCAAAGTGTAAAATTGTCCTAAGACCCCACAGCAAGAGAAGCTCCCAATGGTTTTGACACCAGATGTCCGTGTGACACCAGACAAAATAGCTGCTGATAGGCAGGAAGGAATCAGAGCCTAGCGTTATGGTTCCTCCTTCTGACATGTGTTTGGAACTGAGATAAGTGGGCCGCGTGTGTAATAAAGACTGTTCATAAGAAGCGTACTTACATCTGAGGATTGGCAGTGTGGCAAAAGGGAAGTGACTCCTGACTCACTTATTTCTGTATGAGCATAGCTTGGTAAAGATTAACAGTAGCCAATTTCCTCCGTCACCTGGAGGAGAAACACAGCCCGCAGTTACATCCTGGTAAACTTCGGGGTCAAGGACCTCGTTCAGCAGTTTGCTTTGAACACTCTGTTCCAGTTTTCTATCTCCCACACTGTCGGAAAACCCACCAATTGCTGTTTGAGTTGCCAGCCAGTGACTCAGAAGGCATCAGGAGAACCAGGGATCTAGGCAGAGGGCAGAAAAGAGACAAAGTTTACCTGTCCAACTGTGTGGAACGATATACTGAGTGAACTTACCTTTTCAATTACTTTGCAAAGCAATCCAAACACTGAAATTGCTAGTCAGAAGCTCCTACACAAAAAAAGTGAGAAAAAAAACTGTGCAAAATAGAAATATGCAAAGCATCTCTTGAGCTAAACAAAAATCCTGTTAAGGTACACACCACATGAACTACTGTACTAAAGGCACAAAAGCTGGAGTCAGACGCAACAGATCAGATGCCACAGTACAAGGGTATCTGTGAGGCAACAGCTCTGCACCTCAATTTCATGTCTATAAAATGTCTATAAAATAATACCTACTTGTATACATGTCTATAAAATGATACATACTTGTGTACATGTCTATAAAGTGATACTTCACAGAATTCTTGTTAACAAATGAGATAATACATATAAAGTGCTTTAATAAATATTATTCATTAGTATTACTATTATCACTCATAAACAATATAATACCTTTTTTCTTTCTACAAGGTATGAAAGCTTATTTAGAAAAAGAGCCTTGATTTTTTACCTAGCACAATTCTTGGCACACTGTAGATTCTAAATAACTATTGGATAGGTGAATTGATGGATAGACGGATGAAAGGATAGGTGAATGATTTTATTTATGGAGATAAAAGCACTTCAAAAGAACCCCTTATTTTCAGATTCCTGCCCAGAAAGTCATGCTTAATCTGTTACTCAAAGAAAATTGCCATGGCACTAGAGCAACCTGCAACATTCAGTAGGGGTGTTTCATGGACTCATACAGACATTGAGATTTTTCAAGATTGTCCCACACAATGTTTGACCTCAGTGTACTCAGAAGAATATAATATAGAAACTATAGATTTCTAGCAATGAGAGAGACTCATGCATTCCTCTACAACTTACTTAGAGCCCTGGAAACTCAGCTGCCAGTTGATGAGATCTTTATTGGGCAGGTGAAGGAACTCCCGTTCCATAAAAGATTCAAATCCCACCGGAATCAGTAACCTTCTACAACCCCCAAGAAACAGCTTGCTATGTACTCTCCAGGAACACGATAGTTAGGAGAAGCGCTACCCTCCAGGAAGCTCAAGCACAGCCTCTGCTTCAGGTGTTTACAGCTCGTTTGTACTTCCCCTCAGCTCAGACGCGCTCTACCAAGGGGGCTCGTTTTTACCATATGTAATGTTGCTTAGTGACATAGTTGACACATACCATCTTTATCTGTTTCCAGGGAAACCAAGCTAAGAAGTTAAGCAAAGGTCAGATTCTCACACAAAAACGGGAGAGTTTTTGGTGAACTCTTTGCCCGCACATCTAAATCAGCACTTACAATACAGCCTGAGAAACCCATGCGATGTCCTCGTGAAGATCACACTCCTACCGCACATACCCACCACAAATGTGTTCCCAAGTGGAAAGACACAGGCAGGGCTGTATTTGCTGTTCAACGACCCAAACCCAAGCACCGTGGTTCCTGACACCGCCCCGGCCGTGGTCATCAACCTGCCGCCAACAGCTGCTGCCTTGAAAGATTAGGCAGCTTTCTGACCAAGACTCTTGTGCATGAACACTCGGAGGAGTTCAGTTTTTGTGGAAGTCAGTCATTCGAGCAGGTTAAACCAACCCGAGCCACACTCCTGAGGATCTTTTGAGTTTTGCCCTTTCTTACCAGGCTGTGGGGAGGACAAAATGAGATCCAAGAGGCAAAATGTTGAAAAGATCATAGTAAAAGATGAGCTCCAGTAGAGTGTGAATGAACCCCAAGCGCAGGTGCGCAGGAGCCAATATACTTAAGTAAGAACACCGCAGAGGAGCCCTTACTTCCTAGAGTTAAATTATTAGTAATAATTACTATCTTTACTGGAAGTAGTTAGGGTGAGCTAGACCGATGAGAACCACAGATCATTTTACCTTCTCAGTGTTCCTGAGATAGCAGAGATGTGGTGTAGTAAAAGGTAAAAAAGTATTAAGAAGATTAAGTACCCCGCTTGCTTCCATGCCTGAATGACAATAACAGCAGTGTCTACTTACTAAATTCTTACTGCAGGCCCGAGACAGTGCGAAGTGCTTTGCCTACACTCTCTTGGTGAGTCATCAGGTATTATTAGCTCTATTTCTCAACAAAAACCGAAGCTTAGAAAGAATACAAGACTTGCCCAAGGTCAGTCGGCTCTGGATGGCAGAGCCAGCCGAGAGACAAAGTACAGTGTTGGCCCAAACCCCACCATCTATGTTCTGGGATAGCGTCACATAATCGGCTTGTACAGGTACAGATTCCCCAGGATGAATGTGATCTTACGTATGGCAAATGTGTACTAATAAAAGTAAACTTTAACAAAAGGCTTATAAACTATGTGTTGTCCCATTAAGCAAATCTCTAACAGCAGTGGCTTTCCCATTACCTTTAAAAATGACTCGTAGTTCCTTTGGTGAAAACAAAGAAAGAGGACTTTTTCGAGGAAAATTTCTGTTAGTGTACATTTGTAATACATAACCATTATATGCATTTTAGGGAACTGGTGTACACATAAGTCATATCTCAATCATTTTTGATCCCTCTAATCGCCCACTTCAAATCCTCCTGCCTCCCTCCTTCCCCTAATCTTTTTCCCCATCTCCGAGAGACGTTTTGAAATGGGAGTACTAAATTTAAAGGAGACAAAGGGAAAAATATGAAAGACAAAGGAAATTTTTAACTTTATTTGAAAATTTTTTCTCTCTGTATTATCTATTCTGAAATGGAATTTATAATATGAGTGACAAAAAGGCCTAAGGTACAAAGAGTAGTAAAGAAAAGTAGAGCAGGGGCTGGGGATTTAGCTCAGTGGCAAAGCGCCTGCCTGGCAAGCGCAAGGTCGTGAGTTCGATTCCTGCTACCAGAGAAAAAAACAAAAAACAAAAAAAAGTAGAGCATAGCTTGCAGTTCTGTAGTCACCATTCGCAGCTTACCCTGTCACAGTCTTCTTAGTGGAAGTGGTAATTAGAACTCATCATCTACCTTGAAGATACCCTAAGTAGTGTAGGAACAGGTTTTAAATCGACAGACTCCTACTTTTGATATTAGCTACATCACTGACTGGTTCATTACAGTGGAAGTTTAGTAGCTCTCCAAAAAAATCAGTTACATGTTTTGTCTGTACAATGTTCTTGAACATGTATTCCTGCCAAGAAGAAAAATTAAACTAAATCCTTTCACTATGGCTAGCACGTTCCTACTTTGTTCTGATTAATTCATAGATCCGCACCCCGACGGAATAAGAAATTGGCCAGCAAAATTCTAAATTAGGCAGTTTAATTGTCAAATAAATGTTAAAACTTGCATATGGGGTAGGGAGAGATGTGGAAATGTAGACATGTCGGCATTTGGAAACTATAAATGAGTGTTTCCTTACAGACTGTGCCAATCTCAGGGAAGGAAAAAAGAAAACGGAAAAATCCTGGTTCTGTCAGATACAGCAACCATTTCTTTAGGAAAGT